TGGTATAATTTTGTCCAGTTAAGAACACACCTCAAGGCCAGTGCATAAGGATGGGAATGCCAACCCCATCTCTTGGCTTAGGTTAATGGCAGATGAGTGCAATCTGCCAAGTATAAAGGTAAAGAGTGATGGGAAGGCACCTTCTCAATAATATACCCTCAGGAAATTCCATTGTTAGTTACTTTTCCCAGAATAATGACAGAGTAAGACTAACAGCAAGCATATGGAGAAAGGATTGGTCTCAGAACCCAGAGCAAGGCTGATGCTAAAGCTGTGGGGATTGGAAGAGGTCAGGGCATTAGGCAATTCATTAGACATCTACATAAGCCTACATGTAGATAGACAATGTCAGGAACCCATTTTACATCACTCAATACATATTGTAAAAGTGAATATGGAAACATAGAGATTTCCTTTCTCCTCCATCACATCTTCCTTGTCCTACACAAACCCTCTGTACTCCCAAAGCCCCAACAACTTTCCTAATCAAGGAATCCATGTTAAGGTGTTATTTGTGTTCAGCCACATTATTTGTTATTCCTTCCAGAGATAATTTTAGTGTCCTAAACCAAAGGAGTGACTCTAATGGTATAATATCTGGCTAACCTCTGGAGGAGGTATTTTTCTCTACAGAGGAATAATATAGTGCAACTCACTGGAATGAAATAGGCCAGATGAATTTCAAATGCAAGAGATGAAAAGTAAAGCTAGACTCTGAATTTATATATCATGCAATGATACTTCAAGTCTCAAATTACCGTGATTTTACTGTCCTCTCTCTTTACTACTATAACCCACAATCTAGCACATAGTGAGAGTTTACTGAATGCTACTACTTGTTGCCTTCATTATTATTACTACTAGAACCAGTGGTAGTAATAGTGTCACTGCAGTACCTGGCACAGTGCCTGGGACATATTAAATATTCAAAATTATAATAATTATTTTATTGTACCAGCTCCTGGCATGGTGCCTGAAAAATGATAGTGCACCAATGTAGTTAGTTCCACTCATTCTCATCTTTCCCTGGGAGACATTTGTCTTCAGTTTCCCACACAGCTGTGGGCACAGATTTTTCTTTCGCAGTACCAGTGACTCTATCTGAAAAGACATTCAACCTTTCTTCTATGGTAACCTTTTAATTGACAAATGGTCAGCAAATGTTTTAAGATCATTTTTAGATGGAAAAATTGAGGTTATGGAATTTCAGCTCACCTCTAATCCCTTTATCTTATTATACCACTGTTTCCCAACTAATCCATGATCAATCATCACCTTCATTCTTGCACTCTGCAGTGCCTGGACTACCCTCACATTTTTACATTTAATTTATTCTCCAAGGGCTGGCCTAATAGTTACTTTCTCCATGTAATCTCTCAGATATACAACCCTCATTGAGCCCTTTCTGAAATCCCAAAGCTTCAAATCAGTAACACATAATTTATCACTTCATTCCACGACCTTGCCAACCCTCCTCAGGTAGGCTGTAGTTGCTCATTAAATATTCATTTGTTCAGCACGATCATGTTCTAATCTAGACCATGTGTGCATACAGGGAAGACAGGAAACCAAGTATTCTTACCCTAATGGCAGTAAGACAAATATGCAGTTGGGTGACATTGGAGAATTGTGATTCAAGTGTCCATGGAGAATTCAAAGGAAGATTGGCTAACCTCGGGGTTTTGGGGGAAGGCTTCACAGAGTAGGAGACCTATGAGCAAGGTGCTGGAGCTGAGAAGGATTTTGTTGGAAGAAGCCATGTGCAAAGACAGGGTCATAAAATGGCAACTCAGAGAACATGGCCCAGTATGGCTAGAACTGAGGGTGGGTTGGAGTAAGATGAGAGAATATTGGAAGGTTTACTCATTTTTCATCAAATATGTATTAAGCATTCATGGTATGCCAGGAATTAGCTAGGCGCAGCTGCTGAAAAAACAGGACAGATGCAATTTCTGCACTTGAGCTTTAAGGATAATTGAACAGAGCAGGCATTGGCCAATAAGAAAAAGAAATATATAACTACAAATTGTAATAAGCATTAAGAATGAAGATAAAAGAGTATAACGAAGAAAACAATATGAAGGAACTACTTTATAGAGGGTAGTTAGTGGGGATTGCTCTGAAGAGGTGACATGTTGTTGAGGTTGGAAAGATGAAAAGAGCTGAAGAAGAGTGTTCCAGGTGCTGATCAAAGATCTTGGGGGTCAGGGAACTTGGCATGTTGGAAAAATTGAAAGAAGCTCCACAAGGCTGAAAAATAGTCATGAGGATATAAGTAGAGCATAGGAAACAAAGTCAATAATATTGTAATAACTATGTATGATGTCAGACGGGAACTAGATTTATTGAGGTGATTATTTTGTAAGTTATATAAATGTAGAACCACTATGTTGTACACCTGAAAGTAATATAATATTGTATGTCAACTGTAATTTAAAAGTAGAATAATAAAAATAGTCGATGAGGGTGAGAAAATGGCTTAAGATGAAGTTGGAGAGGCAAACACAGCCAAGACCTAGTAGAACTCATCACGAAGTGTTGATTTTATAACAAAAACAGCAAGAAATCAACCAAGAAAGAGTAAAATGGAATCAAGTTTGTGTTACATGGGATAACTTGTGGATAGTGTGGTAGAAAATCTGGAGGGGAGAGAATGGCATCAGGATGATCAATTATAAGGCTGTGAAAAGGTCCAGGTAAAAGATAATGAAGGCATGGATCTTTTCTTTCATACCCTCCAAAGGTGACCAGCATATTTATAGGCACATGGAAAGCTTCTACCATATTCATATTGATTGGCTAAATAAATATAAACTGAGTTGCATTACTGAGTCTTTCTCCAGGAGATCACATTGTCTCTTCTTCCTCCTTCCTTTTTGTTTATAATGGAGACAGGGAGGCAGTCTACAATTAGTATTATTAAAGTCATTTGCTGTTTAGTGACAAATGCTTACTCTAAGCGCCACTTTCCTTTTGTCACTTGATAGTAGCACAGGAAAATATCAAAATTTCTCAAGACAGCCAAACAGTACCCCACCCTCCTGAGATTTTTATGCAGAGACTAATTTGTTATTAGACCTATTCAGGGCAAGAGGTAACACTCATCTTCAAATACTGACTTCCCAGAAGATCACAAGCACATGGAATGCAAATGCCACTTAGTATAATATATGCTTTTCCCTCTGCCAAAACAGGGATGTCATTACCTGGAAAAGTGAGGCAAATTTTTAAGGAAGCTTCATGTCTTCATCTCTCTTACATCAAGATGAGACAAGAATCCCTTTATCATATTTCTATTTCTTTTTGCTGCCAAATCAGTTTGGTAATGAAAGGCATGTAAATAACTTTGGTAAAACTCAGCTTCCAGAGAACACTAGACGTCCCAGAGATAGGAGAGAAAGGAGCCAATCACCTAATGGATCTGAGCCTCATTTTCTACCCTGGGAAGGATAGCCATTTCTAACTCACAGGGCTAATACAAGGAGTCAATGATAAAGGTTCATGAATTTGATCTGTGAACTACAAGGCAAAAGCTCTATACTGTGATTCATTCTATCCAATTGAAGGCAAAGACTGCAGTATTTTATCACAGAGAAAGTTAAACACATTGCAAGAACTCAATAATAGGTTTTATTTTAAAGTAAATTTTATGAAAAATTGGCTTTAGATGTGGTGCATGTAAAACAGACCATTTACTTTCCAGATTTGAATCACATTTTAAGATCTATCAGTTCCTTGGTTTGGAAAAATGGAGGGAAAAAACCATGAGTGATCAGAGAGTGTGTGTGCTTATCTTTTGCAGCTGCCTTTAGCCTATTGGAGCCAGTACACCTCCCCCAGTGAATAGCAGCAAGAAACGGGATTTCAGTTAGCACTAAAACGGGATGGCAATCCAGGATCTGCATCTGGGGCAACTGCAAATGCAATCCTGAAAATCAGCACAAGCCCATAGGCCCAGGGCCGAAAGAAACTGGCCAAAGATGAACTCCAACTTTGCATCACAAATCAGAAGTATTATCATGAGTATTTTCAGGCAGCAGAAGAGAAGGAGGGAACTAGCTTGTTCCATGTCTCAGGAGGTTTACCCTGAGCCAGCTGCTTTGATAATGCATTATGTTATTTAACTCTCACAATAGTTTTATGAGGTAGAAATTATTCTTTAGCACAGAGCCTGGTACACAATGATAACTGCTATACATATTATTAATATTGATAAACTTAATAATAATAAACTGAAACACAGAGGGATTGGCTTGAGTAACTTATCTAAGGGCATAGAGCTGGTAAAGTCAGGATTTGAGCCCAGGTATTTCTGACCCCAAAGCCTGAGCTATACTCCTTTTCAAGAAGAAAAAGATTGTGACATTAAAACAGTTTGGGAATCACCGGCAGATGAGTGGATAAAAAAGGTGTGGTATATTTACACAATGGGATACTATACAGCTATAAAAAAAGAAGGAACTGTTACCATTTGCAACAGCATGGATGGACCTGATGAGTATTATGCTAAGTGAAACAAGCCAGTCAAAGAAAGATAAGGATCACATGATCTCACTCATATGTGGAATCTAATGAACAGAATAAACTGATGAATAAAATAGAACTAGAGACATAGAAGCATGGAACAGACTAACAAATTCCAGAGAGAAAGTGGGGGGTAGGGTGGGAGGGGAGTGATTAACCAGGGAACTTATATGCATAACTCATGGACACAGACAATAGAATGGTGAAGGCTTGGGAGGGGTGGATATGGAGGGGGTCAATGGGGAAAAAACACAAACAAGCAAAGGAGACATCTGTAATACTTTCAACAATAAAGATACATTTTTTAAAATCACCATAGTCTTAATAAAATAATGAAGTGTACAGTAAAAAAATAAAAAAAAGAAGAAGTAGTTTGGGATTTTCCAACCCATTAGCAAGGCTGCCTCCACAGTTAACCATTTGAGACCTTCAGGTATCTAAGAATATCTTTGGTCTCCCTTTCTCTCCTTATTCAGGTTTCTAAATTGCTATGAACCATGGCCCAACTGTACTACAAAAAGGTCAACTACTCACCGTACAGAGACCGAATTCCCCTGCAAATTGTGAGAGCAGAGACTGAGCTCTCTGCAGAGGAGAAGGCCTTCCTCAATGCTGTAGAGAAGGGGGACTATGCCACTGTGAAGCAGGCCCTCCAGGAGGCAGAGATCTACTACAATGTCAACATCAACTGCATGGATCCTCTAGGCCGGAATGCTCTGCTCATTGCCATTGAGAATGAAAACTTGGAGATCATGGAGCTACTGATAAACCACAGCGTGTATGTAGGTGATGCCTTGCTCTATGCTATCCGCAAGGAAGTGGTGGGTGCTGTGGAGCTTCTTCTCAGCTACAAGAAGCCCAGTGGAGAGAAACAGGTAAGAGAAGTCCCTATAGCCTGGAAAATAGCCACGGATAACAGGAAACTATAATCAGAAGCCTTGAAACTAGGGAAGGCCAGGTAGGCTAGAGTTGAGAAGCCCTATCATGGCAACCCTCTGTCCTCATCAATGATCTTAGGTGGTATCCTAGAGCTACCCTGCATGGCCTATGCTGAGTTTTACTCATTTTCCATTCCCTTATTAGTATTTTCCCTTATATATTCAGTACTTAACAACCAAAAAGTATGCTCTCCATTTCCAAAATATTCAAGCTTCTTTTACCCTCCCTACCCTCTGCTCTCTATCTTTATTTTCTTTCTCTACTCAAAGTCACATTCTACAAAAGAAGAAAACAAACATAAACCTGAGCTTTCTCCTTTTATTAGCTTCTCTCTTGAAGGACAGGAGGCCTTTAAACATGAGAGTCACAATTCAAATGCAGATGGATACAGGGACTCACATATTTTTCTAATACCTGTCATATGACTGCATTCCACCCTTAGGTGTTCAGGTGTTTGTCAGGTAATTCCACTGCCCTCAGAGACACCTAATTTTCATATTCTGGAGTCATCTTCAAGTCCTGCGTCTCCCTTGCCTCCATATCCAATCCCTAAACCTTGTGGTTTCTTCCTTCCTAATATATCTTACATACTTTTCTCTCTAGCCCAACTCCCACCACTCTGCCTCTGGTACTTATCATATCTCTTCTAGAATACTGGTGCTCAAAGTGTGCTCCAGCATTAGCATCACCAGGAGAACTTGCTAAATGCAAATGCAAATCCTCAGGCACCACCAGAGGCTGAATTAGAAACTGGGGATGGGGCCCAGCAAGCTGTGTCTTAATAAGCCCTCTAAGGAATTCTTATGAATACTCAAGTTTGGGAACCAATGTCCTAGAGTAACATTAAAATCTTCTAACTGGACTCTCTCCCTCTAGCCTCTTTCTTTCCCTCAAAAAATTCTGAACAATGATGCTGCTTATTCTTCCCAAAGTATTGTAACAATTCTATAATTCCTTTCCATCCTTTCAGCAACTACAATGTCTTCCCATTAGAAGGGAAATCAATTCAAGAAGCCTAGCACTCAGCAGTCTTCATTAACAGTCTTTTCCAGTCCCATCTTCCCTAGTCTTTTCTAAACCCCTCAAGTCAAGCACATCTTCTGTTTGTATTTCTTCCTTTGGAGCATAGCATTGAGTGCATAGTAGGGACAAAGAAAATACAGAGTCTTCAAATGTGGAACAGTACAATACATTAAAAAGTAGAAATAGTATAAATCAAAACTAAAACTGCAAAATGCTTAGAAGAATATCTACACTAATAAAAGAGAAACATGGTAATTGGCGTACGACCGCTACGCTTTTCATTGGCTAATCAGCGAGATACGCAAATTAACTGTCAGCCAGGATGGCGGCCGGCAACCAGGCAGCTTGAAACTAATATGAGGCTTGCTTGCCTCAGTGATGGAGAAAACCAACCTTCCCCGCCTGCCTTTGCAGGACTCTAAGCCTGCAGTTTGAAACATTTTAACAAATATAGAAGTTAAACAAAACCCCAGAAACCTTTCAAGAGCCCGGGATCTCAGAGCTGGAGTTGATACAGAGTTTAGATTAA